CGCATCTGTGTTCCTGTTGGCGTCTGCTTAGTTTGTGTTGAACGCTGCTAATACGTTCTTTGTCATTCCCTCACTCTCTTACGACGCGTTGGCCCGACCGAGGTGGAAAAGTACGCGCTCGTCTGAAATATAAGGGGTTGTGGTGTTTAAGACCACACAATCTCGGAACGCGCCTTTGTCTGCTAATTAAATAAATTAATACGTCTTCCTGCTTACGTTTTAACTGCTAATGCTCCACGTGGATGGTTGTTTCGTCTCTTAAATTTTAATACTACTTAAAGACGTTAAAATGTGGATAAGGACGTGTGTGTGTGTGTATTTAGCCCAGGACGGGTCCGGTGGAGGTCTTTCTTAATTCGGTGATGAACCTTTAGGTTCGGTAAGCCATTTAGTTAGAGAGTGTGTGTGTATTTGTGTGACCGTGCCAGTTATAAGTAGGCTTTTAGGTATTATCATGCGTCTGTTAGGCAGACGGGGTACCTGGTATCCCTCGGTAACCTCGCTGGTGTTTAACTATGAAGAAAGGCAAAGAACCTCATTTCTGTGTTACAAGTGACAGGTGATGTAACATCACGTAATAGATTTTGAATATTTCCAACTTTTCAGTTTCATTTGTTCGCTTATTTCTGTTGTATTACGATCCGAATTTTCCCTACGCCCTGTCGTGGATGCGTTTATTTTAATGTTTTGTTTCAATCTGAATTCTTTATTAAGCGCCCCGTCGCTAAGAACGCATTTCGTTCTTGTGGCTTTTAAGTGCGTGGTCCTTCTATTAATACGACTTGTGGCGGTTCGGATGTCCGTGTTGTTTTCCGGATTGCAACGCCGTCTAGACTCCTGTGTAGATATCAGCGTTTCGGAGAAGCACACTGCGTCCGTCTTCAGTGCCGAGAAAGTATGTTCCTCCGAAACGTGGCGTCTACGCACGGCGTTAACAACGCAAAAGACCGATGTCGGCACTCTCACCGCGGTGAGACCTCGGACGTCGCGTGTTCCAGAATTATTTTTGGTTAGACGAATGGAGTAACCGACAAAGCGAAAGGAGCAGAGGCGCCAGACTGCGCGATTAAACAAACAAACAAGGAAATAAACAAATATTCGATAAACCCGAGGGCGAAGGTGCAATTGGATGTATTACCGCGTAAGCTTAATTAATAGGTGAAAGGATAAAGCGAGTGAAGTCGGCCTTTCATATTCCATTCCGAAACCACAGATCGGAAGGCCGTTTGTATTTAGCATTACGTGTCTGAATATCAGCATCGATAATATCAGCTGATCTGACGTTTGTTGGTGATTGTCGTGCATCGTCAATTTCCGCATCCTGAGCGCACGAAAGATCTCGTCGATTAATTGCGAGTGATGGCGGGAGTCGTTTCAAACGGGAGCTGTGTCGCTTTCACCGCGGTTCCTTGCGTAACGCCGCGACCCCTGCGTGGGCAATGTCGGAAGTGGCGTCTCGGGGTCATGAGTGGAACACATGGACCTACTTTCTGGCCACAAGTTCTGTTTGGGATCTGCGCGATGGAGTGCAGTGCGCTGGCTTACCGACCGCTCACTCTCCCTGCTACTTCTGGAAGTCTTTCTTAATCCTTCCTAATCACGTTTTTGCACAGAAATATTACGACGGCTGTGGTACGTGCCGTGTCTGTTGTCTCAACACCAGGGTGACGATGATGCGTTTCTTGTTTGAGCAATCTTTGGCTAATGACCGAGATTCGAACCAGGTACCTATCTGGCAAATGTGTTCCAGCTACGCCAGCCTGCTCGGTCAGAGTTGATGGAGCTCCGCCACCTACTAAAGGCGAGGTGAGGACGAAACCATTCTGCTTGTCATGCGTTACGCCCCATTTAAACACAACCACACTCGTAGACGCGTCTGCTTACGTTCTCGTCCCTGTGGACACACAGCTAGTCCAGAGATCACGTCGTCGGCCGGGAAAGATAATAATAGTTGGCGCAGTTTTAGATCCTTCGTGTCGCATTGGACGCGAATGTTCATTATTGTGTTGCCGTGTTCGCATGAGCCTGGCATTGGGCAGTTTCGTCTGCATAGTGTCCAAACAGACGTTGTCATTTCGTTGGTTTGAGTTTCTCGTTGCGTCAACTCATGAAGGCAGGTGCACAGTTCGTGCGCAGCGTGAATAGCGCCATTTTGTCCTTCAGTCTGTTCAGGAAATGGATTATCACCGGCAGACAGTTGTCACTGTACCTGAGTCCCCCCACGTAGACGGCGGGATAGTGCCCTAAATTAGGCCACAACCTTTCTCCTCAACCGCTCCGTTTTCAATTAATTCTTCGCTGCCCTTCTTAAAACAACGTCACGGAAGCGCAGATTGCGATGTAAATGTGAACGAACGCCTTGCTGGCTGCCTTCGTTCGCTCGGTGGATGCAGAACCTAACCTAACCTAACCTGCAATCTTCCTTCTTCTTGTCTTGGCCTCCTTTGTTGCACATCCTTAGAAAGAGAAGTTCTGTTTGGGATCTGCGCGATGGAGTGCAGTGCGCTGGCTTACCGACCGCTCACTCTCCCTGCTACTTCTGGAAGTCTTTCTTAATCCTTCCTAATCACGTTTTTGCACAGAAATATTACGACGGCTGTGGTACGTGCCGTGTCTGTTGTCTCAACACCAGGGTGACGATGATGCGTTTCTTGTTTGAGCAATCTTTGGCTAATGACCGAGATTCGAACCAGGTACCTATCTGGCAAATGTGTTCCAGCTACGCCAGCCTGCTCGGTCAGAGTTGATGGAGCTCCGCCACCTACTAAAGGCGAGGTGAGGACGAAACCATTCTGCTTGTCATGCGTTACGCCCCATTTAAACACAACCACACTCGTAGACGCGTCTGCTTACGTTCTCGTCCCTGTGGACACACAGCTAGTCCAGAGATCACGTCGTCGGCCGGGAAAGATAATAATAGTTGGCGCAGTTTTAGATCCTTCGTGTCGCATTGGACGCGAATGTTCATTATTGTGTTGCCGTGTTCGCATGAGCCTGGCATTGGGCAGTTTCGTCTGCATAGTGTCCAAACAGACGTTGTCATTTCGTTGGTTTGAGTTTCTCGTTGCGTCAACTCATGAAGGCAGGTGCACAGTTCGTGCGCAGCGTGAATAGCGCCATTTTGTCCTTCAGTCTGTTCAGGAAATGGATTATCACCGGCAGACAGTTGTCACTGTACCTGAGTCCCCCCACGTAGACGGCGGGATAGTGCCCTAAATTAGGCCACAACCTTTCTCCTCAACCGCTCCGTTTTCAATTAATTCTTCGCTGCCCTTCTTAAAACAACGTCACGGAAGCGCAGATTGCGATGTAAATGTGAACGAACGCCTTGCTGGCTGCCTTCGTTCGCTCGGTGGATGCAGAACCTAACCTAACCTAACCTGCAATCTTCCTTCTTCTTGTCTTGGCCTCCTTTGTTGCACATCCTTAGAAAGAGAGCTTAAAGGTACAATTTGGCTGCACGCGACAGAGACAAGCGACAGACACGGGAGACGGACACATCGCAGCTTGTCGCCACACACTTTTGAGGTGACGACCGAGACATGCGGCAAAGTGTTTGTTTTCTTTGTTTTGTTGAGACATACGTGCACATATTCTGTAAAAAATGAGTACAAAAATGCTTCTAAAAAGGTTACTCGAATAATAAGAAGAAGATGATGTGTTGCTGTGTTATTTGTTGCGAAAGAAACAAAGAAAACCTATGAGTTCAATATTCAAAACCAGACGTGAAGAAGGTTCTTTCTGTCGGTGGTCGGTTTTCTGCTACTAATTCTACCAATTGCTCATATTGGTGACCAGTAAATTTAATTTCTGTCATTATTTTACTCAACAACACACGTGCTGCCTGAGCCCGTCGCGAGACACTACTGGTCCGAGAGCGGTCTCCTGTGCTTTGTCTCTGTCGCTTGTCTTTGTCTCGCGCTCGTAATTGTACTTCATACGCTTGTACAGAGAGCAGACAGGAAGCGACCAGTCTCGGTCTCGTAACTCTGTCGCCTGCCTCGGTCGCTTGTCTCTGTCGCGTGCAGCCAAATTGTACCTTTAAGGACTCCTTTCTTCCTCCCTTGCGGCAAGCAGACATTGTTCAAGCGACCGAGACCACGCGGCGCCCCTCTTAAGGTGTGTTTCGAGAACAGGAGTGCATTTTCGAATGTTACAAGAGTTTCGAAGGTCATGACGAAATGTTTATGATCCTTGATGTAGACGACACGTGCTTAAACAACGAATAGACTGTAATTTTTATTTTAGGTTTGCGGCTTGACCTTGCTACAAGGATCATTGAGGCAGTGACCAAGTGAATTCAACTTTGTGATGTTTGTTTCGTTCTTTAATTCCTTGGGTTATGCGAGAGTCGAGTCGGAGGATGTGGTAGGAACGGCCGTTACCTATTTTAAGACGAGCCTGGTACTTTTACCTTTTCGTCGCGGATGTACTGAGAAACACCACGAAAAGCGTAAGACGCCGTTGGGTGCCTTGGCCCAAAATCGAAGGCGGGACGTCCGGAATTCGGAACAGGGGTGTTAATGACGTAACCGTCGCAGCTGTCTTCTTCCGGCTGCATCGCGCTTGCCGTGGCAGCAGTTGCGAGGTCGATTGCACTTGTGGCAGAGAGAACGAAGCGTCTTGATCCCCATTTGGGTGCTCGTGCCCTTGTTAAATATCTCGAAGTAGGTTTTTTTTAAAATACGTCTAGTCTTTGTACGAATTCTGTCTAAGTAAAGGGTTTGCTACGTTTCCGATTTCAAAATACAAGACATTTCGCTTCTTGGAAAAACACACGAGGATAAAAATATTAACTTTCATGTAGCAGTTTATTGTAATATAATTTGGTGAATACTGAAAATGTGAATGCATCCATCACTAATTGTCCTTCTTGGCTTTCATGAAAAAGGCACTCTGGAAAAAATAACAAACAGCAATCTGTTTTTCTCCTTTGTATTTGGCCGAAGCGTCTGAACAGGAGATTGCTCATCCCGAGTAATTGCCCAAGTCGTGATCGTGTCGCGCTAGCTCTTTTATCATACGCGGCCACCGTCGTTTGCCAATGCTCATGTCAGCTGATTTCTGTTTATGCACGCCCAATTTCGTATTTTTAGTGGAAGGGTAACTCAGTCTCCTCTTGGTTCTGTGACTGTTCTGTTTCGTTTTGCTCTGCTTATTCGCCTCTGTCTCTGCTGTTGCGTATCCGTTGTCTACGTTTTATTAAAATAGTTGCACCTCTCTGGAAGTTGGTTCTCCTTCCATTTTCAGGTGAAAGGATGTCAAAACCTGGTCTAATTAGTCGCAAACGTGGACCACGTAGAGGGTAAGTGCACTAATAAAATTAACATAGGATGTCTCACCGTCGTCAGGAACCTTGGAACTTCGATTCTTCAGGTACTGTTGAATCGCCCAGAAAATGTTCGCGTCTACTTGTACGCTCCTCTAGCAGCCAGACGTTGCAATTTTTATGTGTAAGTAAATACGACTGTTTATAAGAATATCATAAGCGGCTGTATATTATGTCGAAGGCCAGTCCATAACGTAAGAACGTGACAAGCTTCGTGTTCCGTTGCTCGCGTGTTTTTTTCCCTCTCGTGGCCGGCTGTTATGTTCAAGTGCTTTATCCTCCGTCCCTTGATGAAAAGTCTGTGTTAGCGCCGGAACGTTAGGCAATCAGCGCTTCTGTTCACATCCCTTCCAATTTATGACTCTCAATAATGTTCCCATCCCGTGCTGTACGACCAACCAAGCTGAAAAAACGTTGAGAATAATCGAAGGAGAATCCCAGCGCTCCGTGTTCTGAGGTCTACGCGGTCGTTCGAGTGTTCCAGTCTTTCAAGGATCACCCCGCGACTGACTGACTGCCTCGGTGGTGCCCTCGGACGGGTTGTGATTGCCTGCGGGAATATAAAAATATTCACTACATTTTATTAAATAGTGGCCGATGATCGCGAAACTCGTGATGATTTCTACCCAATGAAGTCGATCTGTTTCCAGTGCCGAGGAGTCCCGAATATTTAGATTGCCAGCTGCAGCCATATTAATTGAGCGGTTAGGGTCTGAACAATAGTGACCGTATTAGTATGAAAATTACACGTAACCTCTTAATTATTGTTATGCGTTATTTACAATGTACTCGTGCATGTCGCTGTGTCCGCACTGGACGGATTTGGATTAAATTTGGTTTCGACGTTGGGGACTGTCCTGAAATCGTCGTTTTAAATTTACTACTCTCAGAAATACCAACATGGTGGGCGAAGAAACGTATGAGGTGGAGTCGACACTAGCGACACTTGCAATTGGGCCATGTATACTGAAAGACTTTCGGAAAATACAGCTTTGATATAGTAAACATTCATATAATGTATAATAACAACATGGCAGCTACATGAAAGAAAAGAGCGTCCAAACTTCACCTGAATCGATAGTACGAAACCGTGCCGACTAGTTCACTACGCTGCCGCATAGCCAGAGCGGCGCCACGTGACGTGCCGTTCGTTATTGATACACAGAACACAGGAAGAACATGTGATTTACATCTTTCGCAATTAAAGTTGTCCAAATAAGGTGACTGACGTACGCAATATTTTGTTAGCAGTAGAAAATTTCAAAGGACGCACGCCTAACCTAACCTAACCTAACCTGTTGTTTGGTGGAGAACATTGGTCTTTAGTTCAAATATATTTCTCACACGTCTTTGTTGCTTTCCGCTGCCTGTAGTATTGTTACTTGTTTTATTATTACTGACTGTTCAGTAACTTCAATGTTTTAAATTGTTACCAGTAAAGATGACGTCCAATCAGAACAAGCACGACGTTTTGCGGTCTGCTAGTAGTGCAGCACGTGACTTCCCAGGCCGCGTACGTCACAGGGACTTGCTTCACTCGAGTGTACTGTACCGAGTGAAGGTGAGTAGTTAGCCTCACGCTCCGGTTGTTTTATCCGCAGCAGAGACAGCGTGTGTGAGAAGCAGACTTCACAAAAAGTCGCTCACGTGCTTGTGAAATGTAATTCGTTTTAATGTTGTTTCCAGAGTCGGAAATAAAATTGAGAAGCCAAAACGGAAGTGCTGATCGGAAGGGGACACGACGTTCCAGGAAGCTCTAGTTACGATATCGCGCGGGTAAGGACCTCTCGAATTCCAGTCTTGCTGACGGCACGGATGAACGCAGTGTCCGCGCGCGTAGGTCGATCCCTAACTCGAGGAATCCTTCCGAAAGTTCAATAAATGCGTTGTTTCATTCTCTGTGTCAGCCACGAGGGCGACTGTTGAAACTGCGGTTCTCTGTGACCGACGGAGGAACTAGACTTTTTGGAACGGCGTAGCCTAATTGCGTTCTCCGCAGCGGGTCCCGAGCCAGCCAGCACCCTGAGGGAAGTGAGAAAGAAAGAAAGAAAGAAAGAAAGAAAGAAAGAGCTTGTTCGTCGAGTTACATACAGGCTGACGTTAAGACCGGACTTGTACCCGGAAGAAGCAGTAACACCGAACGCCCCTGCGGCGTGGTTCGGTCGTATGTGCGAGTCTTTTTCGTTCTCAGATTAATCAGCGATTGTTTCCTTGAGCAGCATTAACCAGTTGGTCTTTATAATGGAGACTCGTTGTTCTCTTTGAGGTTCGGACCCAATTTTAAAGTAGACTATTATTTAGGTGAACCGCGACTTCAAAGTACGCCACTGTCTTCTTGTCTTCTTTGTGGCTTGTGTAGCTGTCTCGTGGTACGATAATGTGTATATGGATGCCTGTATTGTGTGTCAGAAGTCAAGCCACTTCTGTTTTATTTTTAAAAAAGGTGAAATCGCTTAGAATAGCGAGGTCGTACATGACCATCCGCTGTTTCGTCTTTAAAATTACTCGACGTAGGCCTACTGGGAGTCTTCACTAAAAGCTGAGAGGTCTAATTTAATTTTTGTTATCATAGGTTTAATACAAGAGCCACTTATTGCAAAACTAAAATATAAGTTGCTGTATTTTGTGGCGATGAGACCCATAAATCTTATTAGATACATTGATCGATGTGTCGAATAGTTCTTGAAATTCAAGTAAAACAGTTTTCGACGTATGCATTGCGGCGTCTGGCTTTGCAACATTGGAGTCGGCCTGCAGTAAATGAACATCAAGGCCACTGAAGTATCGCAAAGAACGTGTTTCGAAATTTGTGTAGGCGCACTACAGAATGCATGTCAGTCTTGTCTGTTGTTGAAAGCGTAATTAATTTCGTCGACATTGCGTTGATATAGCGGAAGTGGTCAGAGTGACTTTTGTCAAGTTAAGGTACAGATGTAAATAAAATTCCTGTTGGGCTGCGTGATCGCCCTGATGATGGAGGCAGCAAGGACCTCAGAAACGCTGGCAAACGTCTATCAGAGAGCGGCCATCTTCGGACTGATCGCCGTGAGAATCTCATATGCAACAAATTGCCGTCACAAATGAAGGCAAGAGATTTCGCGGGTCTTCTGATATAATTTCATAGTATGAAGCAGCGTCTTGCGTGGTACTAGCATCTGTCTGCTCTTTTCTTATCAGCCTTCGTAAGCTGTGCCCGGGACGTCACAGTGCGTTTGAAATGCTTGTCACAAGGAGACGAGTGCTAATTTCACGAACTTTAATTTCTTTGTTACGTTTTGTTCATGAACCACGGTAAACCTCACACGAGTTGAAATGACGTCATTTCGCGTGACGTGAGTTCTGTTACCTCATACAAAGCGGTTTTGAGGGGCAAACCCTGGTTCTGGTTTGCCTTTTTTTGGCGCATACCGCGGCCGAGAATCAGTTGTTCGAAGAACGTGTTCGCACGCAGTATTGCGGCTGGCTGTGTTCGACGCGTTCGCCGCTACTGAACAGTTGCATTAAGTCAGGAACTCGTTAAATCCGAAGTTTCCAGTTCATGACCCGCACTCGTCTGCCGCAAACTGCATTTCGCGTATTTTTACGATTATCTGCATCAGTACGAATTCGGTGTTTTGAACATCTGGTAGAAATCTCTGAATAGGGGATCGGCCATGTCGAGGGCTGCAGCAGATTTGTTGCGCAGTACCACGTCGTGAAGACGAATGCGGCAGAAGAAGAGTGGGCTCCACTCTTTCTTGACCTCGCCGCTATATTTTGGTGAGGGGCGAACGTTACGCGGCAGCCGCTTTCCTTCCGGGGTAGTAGCCCCCAGCACCCATTTCGTAGGAGGCTGGTTGGGCCTCGAAGCCAGCCTGGACTCCGAGACAAGATAAGAAGCCGTTCCAGGAATCGCCCAGCCCGTGGTCAGTCTCCAGACCCTGTGATTGGCCGAGTATTATTTTCTTGGATTAGGTGAGAAACGTCTTGTCCGATTCCACAGCGACGCCCAGACGCCGTGCCACGGGTGTGACAGGTACAGGGGTCGATTCTCGGCCAGGTACCGATTGGCTTGCGGCGAAGCTGTCGATATTGGTTTCTGGGTTATGGACTTGTACCCAGGCACCAGACTTTTGGAGAGACGTGACTACGAGGTGCGATCGGAAAGTTTCTAGACTGCGCCTATAAAAACCCGTACACTTATCTCAGGTATTAAATCCATCCATCACCCTCGAAGTAGTTTCCCTGGGAGTGAACACAACGATCCCAGCGCCGCTGCCAAGCCTGGAAGCATCCCTGGAAATCTTTCTTTGTCAGCCTGTCAAGCACCATCTGCGATTCTGCCTGAATCTCTTCTATCGTCTCAAATCTCCTTCCCTTTAGCTGAATTTTCATCTTTGGGAAGAGGAAGAAGTCACACGGAGCTTAGAAAGGAAGTTGGGGTCGGTTCTTGCAAGATCTTTGAGCTCCTGACAAACGAGAAGTCGATTCTGCTTATATTCCTCAGACAGGATGCGTCGCATGGGGGGTTCTTCCTTTAGAATCAGCTGACAGGTCCCAACAATGTCGCACAAGTCGTTGATGGTACGACGTCGATCTTCGTGACTGGCCTGCCGAATCTTCGTAACATTTTCGGGCGTTGTGCTCGAAGATGGTCGTCCAGCACGCTCGTCATCATCGACAGAGGTTCGGCCATTTTTAAAACGTGAATGCCACACAAAAGTTTGTGCACGACCCATTGCGGACTCCCCAAATGCTTGGTTTAGGATTTCATAGGTTTCCGTAGCCGTTTTGGCGAGTCTTTGGCAAAATTTGATGCACACGCCATTCCGAAATCGCAGGAGGGTCGGTGTAATGCACTACCAAAACGCCCATAACTAAGAAACAAATGCTAATTCGATGATGCCGGCTGGCACACTGATTTACTATGAATGTAGGCCGCACCCCCTAAAGGCAGAAGCTCGTACTACATCCGGTTCGTTCGCTATTGACACAGTCTTGAAACTTTCCGATCGCACCTCGTATCTTCACTTCAGCGTTGCAGCCCTGAAGACCAGCGCTGAATAGCCTAAGATGGCTGTCTTCTGAACTGTGCTGTCGAATACTGTGGCAGAAATTTACGAGAGGTCCGTGCTGCCACCATCATCAGTGATGACCAGAAGACAGCCATCTTCGTACTAAAGAACGCCGTGAGAACCCTAAGTCATACACTGCATCGTAGTTTGGATCGGTCTGCCTGCCCTTCAGTCGAGCAGGTCGGTGACCTGTTGACGCGCAGAACCTGTTTTCGGGAAGATCCCGGTTTCCGTCCCGATCGAGTTAACGTTTTCTCAGCCTTTTAATGCACTCACCGTACCTCATGAGATTTTAGCCGTAAATTCAAGAAAGGGAGAGGTTTTGTTTGAACTTACGTGTGCAGAATAGGGGGGAAGTGTGCGGACTGGATTGATCTGGCTCACGGGAGGTTTCCAGTGACGTGCTGTTGTGAATAGTCGGAGAATTTTATTAGATGAGCGACTATCAGTTGCACGAGAACTGGGCCCGCTTGGACTTTAAGAGCTGACTCGTGGAAGCCTGTTTCGTCAGTGTCTGGTAAATGACAATGTGCGTAGACCGTGCGTTAAAGAGCGATGAATGGCGGCTGCTACTTTAGTAGTCGAGAGCTCCCGGGTACTCGGGATTACCACTGAACACTTCGGGTGCCTACCCCGTGCTCCTTGTCCCGTGAGGCTTCAGATGCACGCTTTCTTGACGACGGCATCTGATCGAAAAATACGCCGTTGTAGGCCTCCGGTGCGTGCTCGTGTCCTGGCGTCTGAGGATGGACGAGTCATTTCGCACGTTTTTATCTGAAACTAAGAAAACTGTGTCGAGCTGACTGAAAGGGTAACGCAGTGCCAAACTTTTAACTGGAACTGTGAAATAACTAGGTGCATGATGGAGTTGAGTCCTCCTTCAGAAACTTCCTGTCACGTAGTCAGGAAAAACGCGAAGTATTATGGAACTCGAAGGCCCCTGAGGACCGAGTCCACGTGGACACACCGTGTATCTCTAAGAAGCATTTTAATATTATCGTCCCATCTGCTAGATATCCGAAGTGGCATCTTGCTTCTTGTTTTTCGACTAGAGTTTTCTGCGCATTCCTCATCTCCCCATTCGTGCCACATGCCCCGCCCAGCTCATCCGCCTTGATTTGGCCATCCCAGTGTTTAGTGAAGACTGAAGCTTATGAAGCTGTTCGCCGTGGAACATTCTCCGTCCTCATGCCAACTTCCTCCCGCTTAGGCACAAATAATTTCCCTGGGAAGAGAATTAAAAGGCCTAAAGGAGAGGAGGATTTCTGAGTCAGCGCACTACACGGCAATAACAGGGATTACATTAATTGGACGCTGAGTCGACTCAACCACAATTGCAATTTCATTTTATTCCGTGGTATTCCAGAGTATTTTAATAGCCTTAATGTCGGAAAGACCTTGAATCTGGTGGCTACGTGACTCTGAACAGGTAGACAGACTCTCTTGATGATCGCCTTCCACTAACTAACCTTTCAGACACTTGTTACGAGAAGGGGCCTCGTGACATCATGACTGTTTATATGGAATGCAGTTTACAGCTCTGATAAAAACGAGCGCCAGTCGAAACACTTCTTTGTCTTCTCATGGCCACGTTGAAAAAGAAGAACAAGAAGAAAAACGTTTGAAATCCGGCGTGCGTGTGATGTTGACATCGCCCAGTTCCGTTGCCCTCTGCTTTGCTCCGTTTGAATGTCGCTGTCTGTCTTCTTTCTGGAAACTCTGGGAGAATAATAAATGGCCTTCTCATGAAAGCGTGTGAAGGGCATGGAGATAAGACTCCATCCGTTGGAGTACGTTTGCTCAAGATCAGTGGCAGGCTGTTGTGAACGGTAATTAAACTTGTTTCTTCATAGGAAGTTGATTGTTTATTCGCAAGCTGGTTGACTATCAGCTTCCCAAGAAGGACTTTGGTCGGTGGGGGTTCTTGAGTTTCCACGCTTTCCAGACTCAGGAAGAGAACCGGCTGGCGCTAACTGGTCTGTACCAATGGCAGGAAATGAAAAGAACACATCGCAAAACTTCCTTCTCAGTTGCCCCAAAAGAATCACTTTTTTGCGGTTGCTGAAGTTGATTGGGGCTCATCTGCCCGTCCCCCCTCCCCAGCACCTTAGCAAACCACGTGTGATAGATCGCCAGGCTGTGCGCGCGTGCCAACTTTCGAGCCGGTGAACCGATTTTCACTAAACTTAGTGTGGACATTGGAGGTCCAAGGCACCTCCTCCTCCTCCTCCTCCTCCTCCACCGCTCGAACTTTGACAAAGGAGCGACACTTAATATGGGGCCCTGAAGTGGTGTGCTGCTATACATATGTATGTATGTGTATTTATGTTTATCCTTGAATATACGCCGCTTATGTTGCAGTAAATATTTTGCCAAATTCAAACCAACAATTTGGCGGCCGTTCGGAAATTGTCCGGTGCTTGCATGTTGAGAGCGATGACTGATTACTCATTTGGGTTCGTAACGTGTAGTCGAGTGTCGCGATACGCCATGAACTTACTCATGCATTTCACGTCAAATATTGTTTGTAAGTCAGCACTTGCTCACATGACGACCGTGCAAACTTTGAAGTCGTACCTGGCAAATGCAGCGTAGAATGTGCAGCACTTCTGAATTTCTGAACGGAACTCGCCGTCCGATGCAGTAGCACTTCTCTCTTTCAACTGCGCGAGCAACGACACCTGAGGAGCGCGCCGAAGACACGGTTTGTTAAAGGAAGTGTTCTGTCGTCCGAGCCTGCGTTCTCTGCTCGCATTCCTTCAGAATCGTGCAGTCAGGGGAGGAAATAGGCAACACGCTGCACCGTCGCGCTTCAGTTCGTAGAAGGGGACGATTTTTTCTCTTCAGGACAGCGTCCAGGCCGGCTCTGGGTACTACCCACCTAGCCTCCCGTTCATCTGGGTAAGTAAAGTAAAGTAAAGTAAAGTTTGTCCCACTGTACGCCATGTAGGCACTTGGGGTGAGTGGAGGTATAACTCCTCTCTTCCTTGACCTCGGCACTAGATGGGGGTGAGTGGTCAGCATCACGCCCCGGCCGGCTTTACCCCCGGGAAAGGACCCCGGTACCCATTGTAGAGGAGGCTGGGTGGGCCCCAGAGCCGGTCTGGACGCAGAGGCTAGAGGAAAAATCCTTTGCCCCCGTCGGGGATTGAACCCCGGTCGTCCAGCCCGTAGCTAGTCACTATACTGACTGAGCTATCCCGGCTCATCCGTTCATCTGGGTACCGGGAGTAAAATCGGTCAGGGGGTAAAGCTGACCACTCGCCGCCATAAACGAGTTAATATGTTTTGATTGCGCCGAGCTGTGTCCCGCGTTCCCCGTACGTTTTTCCTTTACTCATAAGCCACCCGAATACAAATAGTAATCAAGTGTCCTCACCGAGACCGTCGCAAGCTTTTTCACTCTGCGATGTGTGAGGTGGGATCGACACCAGCGCCACTTTCTATATGGCGATGTGGTGATGTATTGAAAAGATATTTGGAAAATGCAGAACTTAGAGAAATAATTCTTTTCGTGATGTGAAAGAAAAGAATTCTTTCACAGGAATAGGTCGCACACGAAAAGCGTGCTTTGAGTCTGATGCGCCGGCGCAGAGCAAAGGCTCGTTATTAATTTACGGCACTTGCAGAAGATTGGAAAACCACGTGATTTGTGTAGTTTGGAACTAAATTTGTCTGAATAAGGTAACTGACGTAATCTCTTGTTGATGATTCGCAATTCACAGAAAACGAACGCGTGTTTCGGTGCGGAGTGCGTGTCTCCAGTCTTGTTATTTGGAATTCAAGGAGCAGAGGCAACGCCCGAAGGCGAACATTTCCTGTGCTTGAGGTCCACAGAGTGGGAAGAGTTTGAAAAATGAGGAACAGAAAGAAAGAAAAGAAAGTTCTGACAATTCTGGCACCAGCAAGCGCTGTCAATGCTCGGAAAACTACTTTCGAAACAAGAGAGATGGTGACTGTGTGTGTTGCTGTAATTGGATTCACGAGGTTTGCTCTCCATACGATATGAAATGCGTCGACTGCGGCAGAAAGATCTTGCGAGAATCTAACAGCAGGAACCAGAAGTAAATGGAGAACATTTCATTTACTGATGATTGGACTCTAGTTCAGTAGTTTAAGCTCAGGCTCCGGGTAAAGTTAGGAACCTTTTTCTTTTAATGTACCTACATAATAATTAAACAATTCTTTTGAACTTCTATTATACCTTTGTGTTTTTATTGGAATTATTCACCCATTTTATATTTTAATGCCCGTATTACGTCCTTACTTTGAATTAAGTTCATAAGTTTTAGTTAACAGTAGTCACTTTTTGAATTAACAGAATATTTCCAAAAAGAGACGCCGCTAAGACAGATTTTTTCCTTGCCGCCGTGTGTCTCTGACACTTTGTTTTCTGCAGTCATTTTGCTTGCAGCTTAGTATAATAGAGATCTTAAACGTATCTCTTTATTCTCAGTGCTTTTAGCCGTTTTCTCGTTGAGTTAGAAAAAATGTTGCTAAAAGTGCGTCGTGTCTCCCGGACTTACGCTACACTGGAAAATATGCACACGTGTTCGCCCTCGCGTCAGAGGGGGCGCCACGAGACGCAAACTGGTCACGGGCTCGACGCCAAGACAGGCGGACGGACACATTGACTGACCGTCCTTTGCGATGCGTAGCGTCGAGCATTAACGCAGGAAATTGTCGACTGTACTGACAGTATGAAATAAATCCACTTGTGTTGGGAACTCGCCGTGCGATAACCTATTACGTTACAGCGCCTTAAAAGTGTTCTTGTTCCCGGTACGCGGGCTGTATCATGTAACCCACAGCCCGAGGTTCAAGCCGGTTTTGTGGATTTAGAGTCCACTTTCACTGGGAAGTTATCTCACACGCCGTGAGGTAATGTGTGTGTGGGGCTGGATTGTTTCTCCTCCAGTGAGCCATTGTGCTCGCGGTGAAAGTGGGTTCGATCAGCATCCATTGTGATCCCGGCCCCATGTTACGTACTGACTAGTTTTTTATTTTTATCTTTTTGTGCCTGATCCGCACGTTCGCCTCATGTACGTATATTATTATGTGCTTAAGAACTCTGCGATGAAGGGTCCTACAACGAGATGGGATTGGCGTCTTCCTTCTGAACCCCTCGTAGCATCGTCGTGCATCGTCTATTCCAGACGATTTATTCTCTCTTACTGTGTTCCGTGGGCAGATAAAGTATAGCTCAAAGAAAATATTGATAGCGAAATAACAAAGAAACGTGTAAAAAACGAAGCTCGCAAAGAAATATATGATCCATAGCGCAAAGCAGGATTAAAAGAGAAGATTTCTTCAGTAGCATTTGAGGTTTTCAAGGCGGTGAGTCTGAAGATGGCTGTCTTATAGTTTGTTGCGTAATGTAGTCTGGTAGAAGTTTACCTACTTTTCAGAGGTATTTTCTGCCTCCATCATCGGGGGTACTCATCGCCCTGATGATGGAGGTAACCATGTCGGCGAATTACAACCGGACTACACGGCCCAACAACCCAGAAGACAGCCATCTTCAAGTTTGTTAAGTCTTTTAGACAGATCTATTTCAACAATCTGATCTACAGTAAATGTTTTCCGGTGTCTATACTCATAAATTTTATTGCGTACAAACTGTTCACACTTGCTTGTAGTGAGTTACATGAAGGTGAACTTTAATGCAGTCTAATTATTCCACGTACTCAATATTAACGAGAATTACGATTATTACAATTTGTACTCTGAGGAATATTTGTTGTCCGATACGTAGCGAAATGAAATTCACCTACTATCCTCACTACACGCCTTGAAAGCGCTTCGGGGAGGAGAGATGGGATGGTTAGATGTTAGATCGCAGATGGTGCTTGACAGGCTGGCAAAGAAAGATTTCCAGGGATGCTTCCAGGCTTGGCAGCGGCGCTGGGATCGTTGTGTTCACTCCCAGGGGAACTACTTCGAGGGTGATGGATGAATTTAATACCTGAGATAAGTGTACGGGTTTTTATAGGCGCAGTCTAGAAACTTTCCGATCGCACCTCGTATTTCGGTTAAATTTGTACTTGAATCGCCAATCTGTTTCGGCGCTGATCCTTTTGAACTAAAAGCTGTTTCTCCCCACACGACAGTTCTCATTTTTTTATCCAGGCACGTGAAGCGCTGGTGGGTGTTAAACGATGGATGCGTCACTGTCGCAGAAATTTAAAAATGGCGCCGAAACCGTAGCAGAGAGCGAAGTGTGTCCAGTGGCTAGCGCAGGTTTGGAGCCTGCGTTGTGTTCCGCACTGGTCTCTTGAGGTGCGTCAATTACTTAACCAATGTTGACATGGTCGTGGGATCCCTCTGCTTGGCCTCCGAATTCACCCGCTCTGAGCCTGCTTGACTTTTTGCGCGGGTTTACATCCAGAACCATGTCTACACTCAACACAACACCCAAGATGAGTTAGAGGTCTGATGGACGACATGGCTCTTGCATTCGAGCAAATCACTCCAGAAACGCAGCTTAAGACCTGGAAACACTTAGCTGCCGGGTGTCGCTTGTGTTGTGGACGCCAAGGGGCCATGATATGGCGCATTGATTTTTGACACAAACTCCTGTTTTATTTCTTTAATTTTTTGCGCCTTTTTTGAAAGTTGAAATAAAATTCAACAATAATTTAGAATATTTCAATGTTCCACATTTATATAATTTCAAACGAATTACTCTGTATAGTGGTGCAACTGAACAGTGGTAATGGATCTTGAGGTTACGTAAGAGACAGGTAATGTCTCGGCAAGCTGAGTGACTGTCAGCTCTTCAAGACTTCTTCTGCGCAGTGGAGTAAATATTAAACAGAAAATGTGTGTGACAAAATTAATAGTTCCTGTACTTCATTCGTCTTTCAGAGAAGTGGACCTCATGCGCATGGGCTGTATGAAAATCTCGTTTTTGTAATAGGCGTTTTTGCTGTGCGCATTGCAGTCTTGTTTCTTCTGCGTGAATCGTTAAGCCGCGACATTTGTTGTTTCTTTAAGGACCCTTCCTCGGGTTATGCGGCTAGCAGGAAGACTGCGAATTATGAACTGGGAGGGTCGTAGAAGGAGACGTTCCTTCTTATTGGAAACAAGGATGCTAATGAAGATTTCTGTCTTCTGGGTTGTTGCGCTGTGTAGTCCGGTCGATGTTTACCAACGTTTCAGAGGTCATACTGCCTCCGTCATCAGAGTATGAAGATTTCTGTCTTCTGGGTTGTTGCGCTGTGGAGTCTGGTCGATGTTTACCAACGTTTCAGAGGTCATACTGCCTCCGTCATCAGAGTATGAAGATTTCTGTCTTCTGGGTTGTTGCGCTGT